AGAATCGAAAGAGAATGTGGTTGCATGGTTGTTACAAGTACAAAATGTTTTTAATGATCCAAATTACATGAGTAAAACTAATATCACTTACACATACCTTGATTAAAAACGGGCAATTTTCTTTTGGTATTTAATAATATGGTTATTATTCACTTAAAATTTATTATTTCAATTTATTTTTATTAATACATTATAGAAAATTTTATGTTTTATTAGTGATTAGCAAAATGTCTCTAACTTTACAAGTTTTTTTTGAAATAACCATCTAACAATAAAAAATTTTTTTATTACTATATGATTGTATGCTGAAAATGGATTTTGTGTTAATTTTCGTCTCACGAAAACTAGTTTTTGGTGTAGCTGCGTATGAAGCAAGTGATTTAAAAGAGGTTCGGGAATTATTTATCCTCGCCGATCATATATAAAATCACATGACTACACTCTACCCTTAAGGCCTAGTTTTTCAGATAATACTCCAAAATGTTATATTGAGTTAGCATACAAATGCACAGATGCTGATCCTAAAAAAAGACCAACAGCAAATGAAATTTTAGAAACTATTAGTTTTTGGCGTAAGGCAGTATTATATCAACCAGATTGTAATAGGTGTAGTTATTCTGAAGAACAGCTTGCTGAACTAGTAAAAACAAGAAAAATATTTGAGGAAACAGATAAAAAACCTTTTGATCCTTTAACAATCGCAACAACTGTTCATCCAAATGCTGTTTATACAAGTAGATTATTGAATTTTACAAATCTTCCTCAACCTATAAACTACAGTTACAATTATTGGTAATAATAATGGTAATTATCATCAATTATTTTAAGATTATTAGCATTAATATCATTTTTATTATCTAATAAATTATCATATTATAGTTTCTCATCTAATGGAAATGTATTTACCTTAGTCAATTATTAGAAGGAAATGAACAAATATCCCTTATTATTATCTTTTTTTAATGATTAATTAAAATATTACATGCTTTATATTTTGTCCATCTATTTTAAACCCTTCCTTATTATTATTATTACTATTTTATTATTATAATTATTAGTATTTGTATTTGTATATTCAAGCATTTATATATTATTATTATATTATTATTTTATTATTATTATTATTATTATTTTATTATTATTATTATTATTATTTTATTATTATAATTATTATTATAGTTGGCTCAGTCTAAAGACCTCCTAAATTTTGTGCAAATTTTAAAAATACAGAAAGTCATTTTCTATCCTATCTTTTAAAAAAATAGCTTTATTAGTTGATGGAATAGATCTTTAATTTAATATATTGGAGAGATTTTATCAAAAAGATTATTTGTTGTAGAGTTCTATTCTTTTTTAAAACATGTACTTTACTATCAGTCACAGGATATTGCAGATCAAATGTCATTTCATTGTTTTCTTTTAACAAGTAACTTTTTCAATCATAATAAAATTCTTAGAGCCAGACTAGAGCTTCCTAATGACTATTAAATAGGAGTCTAACTTAATTATTTGTTATTCTAAGCCAGGCAGTGTCTGAAATTGAGTGCGGGGGTTTGTGTTACATATTGAATTTAGCCAATCAACGTTAAATTTTCTACCAGAAG